TTCAAGTTTTGTGCAAAAACGCATGATCGCACCGGCTCGCCTGGTGCGTTCCAGCCTACGTTTTAACAGCAATCATGCTGTGACCGAAGCATTCATGGTGAGAGCTAGGATCTAAGCGTGCACATATTAAATAGCGATTGCGGCTTTTTGATCAACACTTAATAAAATCGTTTTACTTTTGAGACAAAAGTGACCTAAGTTTTGAAAAAGAAAGTGAAAAGTCGTGAATGAATAAAAATTCTTGGCTGTTTTCGCTACGGCCTTTCATCCCGCCCTTCTTTTTCCTGCCACTTTTTCCCTTCCCTCCTTTGCCTCTTCTTCTTTTAGGACAAACTGAGATGAAATTCATGAAAACGAACTTCCTACAAACGGGCCATGGTTTGCCAAATAACTTTGAATGGATTGGAAACCAGCTGGAATGCTGACCGACCGACTGATAGTACCGCGACCGTATTGAAGGCGACACGGCCCTTGGACGCCAGCGTATCGAGCATATTCGGTTTCGAGTGGTACACCTCTTTGGGCCATCAATCTGAAATCGCTTTTGCATGATTACGTACAAATACTCTCAATGCAATTTCCCCTTGTTTGATTCCAAGCATTCAGTTTCACGGTAACTACTGATTTGCCCTCTCGCGCTCTTTATGAGTTTTTTTTTCAGCTATGAAATGCAGAAAACTGAAATTGACGAGGGGTTGTCTGTGTGTCGGTGTGTGCGTCTGTACCGAATTTTCATCTCAATACCTACAAAAGCTACAGGACTGAAACTTTGGGAACTTTATCTGCATGCACTTACTGGTCCCAATCCCCAAAATAGGCGGCATTACCTGCGTGGTATCCATGTAATAGTTCGCCAAGGTTTTTTACGGGTAAGCTGCTAACTCAAGAATCTGAGAGGCTAGAAGGTTGAAATCTCAAGGGAATGCTCTTCGTTCAATAGGGTATTATGGCCTGAAACCCGGCCGCCGGGCAAACGTGGTACCCACGTCCGCGCCGTAAAAGTTTTTTTGGGGTAAGTTGTTAAATCGGGAACCTGTGAAGCCAGAAGACTGGAATTTTGAAGGGATGTTTCCTGACAGTGCTGGCAGCCAGTCTGAAATTCTTTTAGCTGGAAACATCTGCCGGGAAACCCGTGCCGTTTGCGATAAAAATCTGCGGGGAGCTATGCAAAAAACAGCATCTTTTCACGGGCAGCCATGCGTTGGCCAATTATTTCAAATTTGAACTGCAGCCGCTTACTGAAAAAATTTAGTCGCAGTGCTGAGCTAAGACGTATGCAATTTCATGGATGGAACCCTTTATTGCTTCATTTTGCACGGCCCTCTTACCCCTTCTTTCTCTATCGCCTTCTGTGAATCCGAATACCGGTCCTACATAAATGACTTGCTGTGTGACAAATTGGGATTACTGAATGTTTAGCATGCTCCGACTCATCAGGTTTTTATAACGAGGTAAATAAAAGGGGCTAACATAGGACTGGCAGTTCTGACCCAATAGGAAGTAGCTCTGTTGCCCTGCAGTTGACGAAGGGCTCGAGTTATCCACAGGATCGTTTGTTTTAATGGTAAATTGATGTTTGTATATGCCAGGTAATCTATTTTACTATCACTCTGTTTTTAATCAACCCTCGAAAAAGAGCCATCGATAGATTTTGCAAGCGGATGGTTGCCATCACTTGACTACTTTCCGAGTGCATCAATTTTTAATATACGGCGAATACGGTAACGATTTTTAATTTCTAACTTTTAATAAACCCAAACCAAGGATAGGTAAAACGCTGCTAGCTGCATCGGTGTAGGAGTTTCCAGAATGAAGATTCTATAGCTTTTAATATGTTATAGTAAATTTGGGCATTTCAATATAATTCTAAAAAATGCCAAAACAATTTCGAGAGACATTCTTAAAATTAGGTCAGGCCTACTGGCGAGCCCAAGTGGTAGTACTTACTCGAGCGCCGTACTGGGAAATCCTCCACGGCAGCCATAACTTCTCGTGTCACAGTCCAGCAGTGCTTGTTCGGAGTAATCATAATCTCGGCCCGTGCTCCGCTTGTACAAGTATTCCAAGTTAGCTATTGTTGCGAATGCCCAACATGATCCACATTGCCCTCAAAATAGAAGAATCCATCGTTATCGACGTTTCATTACTCGTTAAAATGCTATAGTGGAAAATGTAAGAACAAAATAATAAGAAAAATGAGATGAAGAGGGTGTTGAGAAAGTAGAGGGGTTTCTTCCTTTATCTCATTTTCAATCCTTTTAGTTACACCATCCGTCTTTCTTCCTTGCCTCTCTGTTTCCCCTAAATCTTGCTCCAGCTTTGAAACTGTATGAGATTTAGGACAACTATTTCGGATGTTTTCTCCATTATGAATAACAGCATCCAACGGCTACCAGTGAGAATTCTCCACTGATTAGTTGCTTTAAATTAGTTCTTTCCTCTCAACCCCTTAAATTCCCTTTTCCTTCAGATATGTTCTCAGTACCGGTTTTCAACTGACGATGTGTAATTCTGGACCGAAAGCCAGGCATAGCTACTCTCGGCATGTGTGAGAATGCCAGCAACATCACCAGCACAGGACACTCATGTTGGCTGTGCGGCTGGTCTTGGTATTCTTGATATATTCTCAGCGAGGAGGAACGTGCTGATACGAAAAAGTGGAGTGATTACTAATTAGAATAACATGACCTTGATTTCGAACCGGAGTCACATATTGACGAAAATCAAGTCGTTGTCCAGCTCTTACCAACGAATCATTAGCAGGGGGCTCATATTTCTTCATACCAGCGTGCGGCTCCAAATATTTAGTATCCATCAACAGCTAAACGCTTCAATTAGAAGGTTGAAGAAGTAAAAATAAAAATGTGTTTTCTCTCTGCACACTAGAATAATGCATTCAAAAATCGGGAAAAAGTTTTAACTGTGAAATATCGATAGCACTGTCAGGGGAGAGTGGTAAATTTCGTGGTCCTGATGCTTTAAAAACGCAAGGACAAAATAACCCAGCAGCAGTGCACTGAGCTCGCAATATTGCACCAATTTTGAAACAGAATCTTTAACAGTATGAACGGTTGTTGCTTTACAGTTTAATAAGTGCACTAGTGTTGGCAGTGTTTTGGTCTTTTCTCGCATGCACGAGAAAAAGGGGTCAGCTAGGACTACAGGACTACATTTCAACATTACTAAACGGCTCAAAGGTTAAAAACTTTTTAAAATCTGCCTTATCTCAATAAGTAACTCCAGAGAATTAAATGTTAATTAATTACATCAGACGAGCAGAAAGAAGACCATCAGTGTGATGGAAGGATCCGTTTGGACGGCTGTATGGAATG